CGACGACGCCGCAAGTGACGATGACGTTTTTGGTTGGAGCTTTGGAGCCGCAGCCCGGCCCTTTCCAAGCGCGTGGTCGAGAAGGTTTTCTTTCACAAGCGCATGGTCACGGTGATTTTCCTGAACAGCGGCATGATCGAGATGTTTTTCATGAAGAATGGCATGTTTCGGGAGATTTTTTACAACAGCATGAAGGGCATGGTCGTTTTGCACAACAGCATGGTCACGTTGCAGAACAGCATGGTCACGTTGCAGAACAGCAAGAACATGGTCAGCTAGCAGCCTTGCGTGGTCACGTTCGCTTTGCAGAAGACACAGGGCATGAGAGCGTTGAGCGTGGTCAGTTGTTTCCACAGCATGTTGTCGAGCAGGTGATGAGCATTGGAGCTTCCACGTTTTCTTTTGAAGAGCAGTGTGCTTGGTTGATAGACTCTGGAGCTTCATGTCACTTGATCGGGGAGGGCATGCTAGATGGTGGCCACGTCGAGGTTCTGGAGGAGCGTCCGGTGAGTGTTGAGTGCAGCCTTGCTTCCGGAGAGCCAATAGTTTTGCGTAGGAGAGTTTCCGTGAGAGCCTGCTTTATCAGTGATGTAGAGGGGCTCGTTTGCGCTACTTTGAGTGCTCTCGTTGCGCCAAGCTGCAACCACGTAATCCTCTCTACCGGCCAAATGGCTCAGAGGGGCTGGCAGGTGTCGATTTGTGCTTCAGGTGTTGTGGTGTCCTTAAGTAACGGCAACCAAGAAGTGAAGCTAGGAACGACTGTTTACAGCAACGTTGGATGGTGCTACAGCATACCCACAAAGAAGTACAAGAGATCCTTCACTTCCGAGCTCTTCAGCTCGGACGGCGATGGAAGCAGACTGGGGCGGAGTCTCGGAGACCGAGGAGGAGCAGGCCCCAGTGATGAACTTCGCGGAGCACCTCACAACGGTGGTGCACAGTGCTCTGCAGCAGACTCTCCAGGGAGCGTGGTCTCGGGTAACGTCCCCGAGGTCAGCGACGTCTTCGGTGAGCAGCGGGAGCAGGTCGCCAGCGGAGGGAGCTCAGTGCGGGATGGAGGGCAACAAGATGGAAGAGAAGGAGACTCCTCACCTTCAGAAGGAGATCCTCCAGGAGACTCCTTGGCACGTGGATGTGGAGATGCCGGCGATCCATGCGGAGCCACTCGAGACCATAGAGGGGCCAGCTCAGTCTTTGACGGAGCCACTGGAGCCACAGGTGGTGAAGTCGAAGGCCAGGCCGAAACCGCCGGTGTTACCATACCCACCAATATCCGTCACGGATGCCAAGGATCAGACGCCGGAATCCGAGGAGCAAGAGGCCGACCAGTCGAGGACCAGCCCTGTGGGGGGCGGTTGGGGGCTGCACGGCCTCTGTCTGCCGAAGCCACCGCCTCCGGTTGTGCTCAAGCCACGGATCAACGATCTCAACACCCCTCCATCGCCGCCATCGGTGGAGATCGTGTCGGTGAAGTGGGGGAGGCACCTGCCGAAGCCTCCGGCAGTGCCGAAGGCCAGATCGAGATCTCCGGTGAGGCGGAGGGTTCAGCCGAGGGGCTCGCGCAGCCCGGTTCCGGAGGAGGAGCTTCTGTAGGTGACGGCCCAGAGTTTTGTGGTGGAAAAGAAAATAGCGCCGAGCCTTCTGATGCGTGGTGGATTGCAAGTGACAGAGATGTGCTGCCTAAGTTCAGCTTGTTTGAGCATGAGTTGCGGTCGCATGTTCCATACAGCAGTTCCTGCGAAGTGTGCGTGAGAGCTAGGGGTTTGAAGAAAGCCCGCCAAAGGACCGATGTGCACCAGACCGAGGTACAGCTTGATCAGTTCTGGCATGGGTCGCTGAAGTTCTTGATCATTGTGCATTCTAGGTCTTTTGCCATAGGTTGCGTGAATGGTGATAGGCCGAAGGAAGCGATTGTTGCAGACATGTCCCAGTGGCTTTTGCATTTCGGTTTGTCCAACAAAGACTGCCTCTTCACTTGTGACGCTGAGGGTTACATGTGTGCGTTGTGGCAGCAGCTCCTGCAGGATCACCCAACATTCCAAGGTACCATCGAGCAGTTCGCAGCAGGCCGTCACGCCCCTGTGGCGGAACGCGGGGTTCGAGCTTTGAGAGAAGTTGCCAGTGGGATTTTGTTGCAGATGCAGGACAGCTTTGTTGGGTTGAGGAACAATCGGAAAGCCTTTAGCTTGTTGTTTGCCCATGCTTGCGCAGTGCATAACAGATACAACACCATGTCTGGATCCATGTTGTCGCCTTTGCAGAGACTGAGAGGGAACCAGCACAAAGCACACCAAACCTACGTTTTCGGTGGGACTGTTCTTGTTGCGCCACCACCAAGCAAAGCAGCAGCAATCACAGGTCGATTTGCGTATGGAGCCTACCTGGGACCTGTTCTGGGGAAGGCTTCACATTGGGCTTCGATTCAGCTGAGGCCGGGAGAGGTTGAGATCCTGCCATCACCTGCTGTGAAGATGTTGTTGCCAGTGAGATACGACCTTGAGTTGCTTGGGTTGCTTGGGAAGAGGTCTGGGAGCATTGTGCATCGACCGCCGCGCTTGCCTGACATTGAGCGTGTCGATGATGAGTTGACCGTGTTGCCGTTGAGCTTGACTGAAGATGGGAACCCTCCAAAGGATTGGTTGCTTGAGCATGGTCGAACCCGTCGTTGCTTGGCGTGTGAGCGTGGCATGTTCCATGGAGTGAAACATTCAGTGACCTGTCGGAAGCGTTATCGTGCGTGGCTTGAGGAACAGCGTGAGAATCAGCCGGCAGCCGCCGGACGACAGGGAGGCGAGGAACCTTCAGACGTAGTGCCAGAGCCCATTGGGATGGATGATGAGGACCCGAGAGTTGAGGTGGAACTTCCAGATGACTATGATGATGTTGAGGTTCGGGATCCTTGGATGCCATCGGTTGATGATTATCTCCCCTCTGGGTCACCTCCTTCTGTAGCTTCTGAGGCCGAGCCTTCGGAGGAACAGGGAGAAGCAGAAGAGGATGAAGCCCGAGGCGTCGGTGAAATCCCGATGGATGTTGATGCATGTTGGTCGGTTGCCTCTTATGATGCACTTGATGCTGTTCCACTTGAGTTTGCGGAGAACTTTGCTGTTGGAGTCGAGTGTCGGGCGAGCGTGTTTTCGAGCATTGAAGATGATGGCTGGACAGAACTGAAGATGCGTGACCGCATCATCTACCTCCAGAAACCTAGTTTCGTGAGGGACGATGCCACTGATAAACCGCTCGATCCCACGAAGACCCGCGAGGGAATGACCAAGGAGATTCGAGCACTCGATTCACTTCGAGTTGGAGACGTTGTGACCAAGCGCGAGGCGGATGAGTACTGTCGGGATCATGGGATTCGGATCCTCTCCACTCGGTGGGTTGCGGTGGAGAAGAAGGACGGAGAAACAAAGGAGGACATCGTGCGTGCCAGAGTGGTCGCACGTGATTACGCCAGCGGTAGCCCTACAGCGGCCGAGCTGGGGATCTCAAGTCCTACTTCGTCCAATGAAGCGTTCCGGTCCTTCCTTGTTTTCGTCTCTGCGACTGATTCGGACATTGTGCTTGCCGACGTTTCAACAGCCTTCTTGTTTGCGCTCATTGTGTCGCCTGAGTGTGTGATGCTACCACCAAACATTCGCTTCAGTGACAACTCAAGAGTTTTCATGAAGTTGCGGAAAGCACTTTATGGATTGCGATCGGCGTCACTTGCGTGGTACAAGCATCTGAGCGAGCTTGTGAAAGAGATGGGCTTGCATGCGTCGGATACAGAGAAGAGCGCGTTTTCGGGAGAGTACGAGTTCAAGGGAAAGAAAGTTTGGATGCTTTTGCTTGCTTACGTCGACGATTTGATGATTGCTTGTAAGGACAGAGAAGCAGCACTCAATTTGATCGAGCGCCTGGGGCGTTCGGTGAAGATCAAGGTCACAGGGATCCTGTCCCGTGACAAGAAGATCGACTTCTTGGGAAGAGTGATCCAGAAGGTTGAATGGGGGCTCATGTTGGGGCTTCCAGAGGGCTACTTCACTTCGGTGTATGAGTCCTACGGCATAAAACGGGGGAGCCCAACGCCGCCAGATCTTAGAAAAATATTGGATGAATCCCTGGAGAAACCCGATTCCCAGAAACCGTTGTCCACGGAAGCGGCGACGAAATATCGCTCAGCAGTGGGCAAGATCAGTTGGGCGGGGCAAACGAGAATAGACTTGACCTATTTCATCAGTGTTCTGAGCCGAGGCCAGTCAACGCCTTTGGTTGTACATGAAGCCTGCCTTCGGGCTTTCCTCAGGTATCTGATTTCGGTGGATCACCTCAAACAACTCATGAGTGCCGAGGAGTGTTCTGGAAGGGTCGAAGCTTACGTCGATTCGAACGGGGCCCCCGAACGGAATAACGATCGGAGGTCCCTGTCGGGATGTGTTATCCTCGTCGATGGCTTCCCCATCAAGGCATTTACCCGGACACAGACCAGCGTGGCAATGTCGAGCGCAGAAGCAGAGTTGGTTGCGATCACCGAGGGAGCCAAGGAAGCGGTAGGAGTTGGTGCTTTGGTTCAGCACATCTGGGGAATGTTTCGCACCTGTCAGGAGCCACCCGCGATCTACTCAGACTCGCAAGCCGCCATCAATATTGGATCCATGCATGGTTTGCTTCGTCGAGTCAGGCACATTGATCTTCGCGTGTGTTGGACTCAGGCTGCGATTCAGGATAAGTTGATTACGTTGTCTTGGGTTCCTGGAGCCCAGAACCCCGCTGATATCTTCACGAAAGCGCTGGGAAAGCCACAAGTGCATTGGGAAAAGCTTGGGATCATCGAGCATCTGCCGCGGCAATCTCTCTTGTTGCTTGACCTTGATTTTGATAACGAGGTGCTCTGCACGATGCTTGGAAGAGTGGTGTCTGCCCCCGTCCTTGAGCGCTTTAGTCGCCAGCTTGACGAGGTGAACCCTTCGAGAAACCGTTGGGTTGTGGTTGAGTTCTGCACCTCAGTGAACTCCGGCATGAAGGTTTCTGCCGAGGCCTTCAGAGATCTGAAGGTGATTTGCATCACGGAAGAGGAGAATGGACTGTCTGAGGACACTATCGCGTTGACTCGAAGCTTTATCGTGCGCATGGTTGAACACAAGGTGCGTGTGCTTGTTTGGTCTTCGACCCCGTGCACAGGTGGATGCTTGTGGCAGCATCTTCATATGGGCAGAGCTGGACACGATGCCCAGGAAACTGTGGGGCATCCAGCGGATGCTTTGGAAGAATCTCTGCCTGTTGGTGTCGCCAGTTGAAGGGATGAGTGCCGAGCTTCAGCCGTACTTTGCAGTCGAGTGGCCCAAGACGTGCCAGTACTGGACTTGGAAAGACGTTAAGAAGATGCTTGCGAGCCGCGAGCGTCCTGTGATCACCAGCTTCGTTGATGGCTGTGCTGTCGGCATGATTGGAGCAGATGGAGCATTGATTCACAAGCGTTGGCGTGTGGACACCGACTTCGAGCCACTTGCTTGCGCGTTGAACAGCATCCGTTGCACCAAGGACCATGTTCATTCCGAGAACTTCAATCTTCGCGAGACGCAGCACTACCCTGTTGCCTTGTGCGACAAAGTGTTGCAATCTTTGAAGTGAGCCCAATACGTCGCGTCCTCAGCTTAGACTCAGAGACGCCGCAGACCCGCAGCTGGTAACCTCGAGCTGAGTGCCAGTTAGAGTTTCTTTCTTTTAGTGACGAGCCATGGACGAGCTTCTTTGGCTTCTACTTGCCACGGCAACAGTGTCCGCTGCGGTGGCCAGTTTGGTCACTTGGTGCTTGGTTGCTCCCCGGAAGTCGGTTAGTTTGAAAACGCAAGTCAGACTGGACGATCCGGATGAATCAGAAGAAGATCTTTCGACAGCTTCGCCTACTACAACTTTGGACGAACACAGCAAGTTCTTTCTTTCCTCAGCTGGCAAGACTTTGCACCTCTTTCCAACGTGCCCAGGTCGCCACGCCAGGCTGAAGACCTTTCGGGTGTGCATCAGTTGCATCAACCGCCTTGATTCTGCACCCACTGTCGGAACGAAGCAACCTCCAAGAGGGGGTAAAGGAATTCGACACCGTTGATGTGGGATGGAGCTTGCTTCGCATGGTTGCTTGTGTAAGTTGTCGTTTGTTTTTGCCCTGAAGAACCAACACCTGTCAGCAGCGAGAGCAAAAGTGTTTCAAGTCGAGTTTTCTTTCACGTCTGAGCAAGTAGAGAATTTCATGCAGAACGGCATGGTATTTGCATGTTTTGAGCATGTTTGAGCATGTCTGAAGAGTCTTGAGCTTGTTTTGTGCCAACTGCCTCAAGGATGAGACTGCAGTTTGAAAGGATCCTCAAGGGAATCTTTGTGAAGTGCTTGAAGTGCTTAGCAGAAGCACTAGTGTCTCTGAGGGGCCTGAGTTGGTTGTGCGAGTTTGGTTGCAAGCTGTAGTTCAGAAGTTTTGCTGCAGTGAAAGCGTGACCGAACTGTTTGGCTCAAGCGCGAGTGTGAAAAAGAAGTCCGAGTGCAACGCTTCGCTTTGCAGTTTGTCCTGAGCCACTTCGTGAAGTTTGTTTTCCGACTGGGAGAGCTTCGTGAGCTTTTGGTTGCAACTTCAAGGTTTTGAACTTGGTTGTGACGGTCTCGAAGTTTTTCGATTTTCGGGCATATTTCGGGCACTATTCGGGCAGTATTCGGGCACTATGCCAGGTGGAGGCTTGGGCGGCATTATCTGGAGGGCTAAGGGTTGGGAGGCCTGCAGGACCACCAAAACACTGGAAATGCGCACGAAGAATAGGAATTTGTGCTGCAGGAGGCATTGGGGAGTGATCTGCGGGGCAGGGTTTGGAATGCAAAAGGGGGGGTTTAAGGAAGGATCTGCAGAGGTTAGGGCAGGATCTGCAAGGCAGGATTTGGGGGAGGGTCCGCAAGCAAGCGTTTGGAGGAGCATACACGAAAAACATGAGGGGTGGCATGTGCAAAAAATTGTAGGGTAGTCTATCTACAAGTTTACGGGGGCCTTGGCCATGCGAGGGTTTACGGAAAGATCAGGCAGGACTTCGGAGAGGATCTATAACGAGACTTTATAAAGGAGTTATTGTTTTTTATCAAGTGCTGCAGCAGTCATTGACAGTCTTCTTGTTTGCATATTTAGAAACCTTCTTCCCGTCCTCTCAATTCCAATGTGTGCCGCAATGTGTGCCGCTATGCTCATTGGGCGCTTCTGTGTAAACATTAAATTTGGGGGGAGCAGGGGTCTGGAAGGTTTCAAGATTTGTTGTTTGTCCAAAATTGTACTATCGCGCGAGGCCATTTTCAGTGTTCGAAAAACCACGAAAACTATAGGACGCATTAAGGTACGCCATAGTCATTGCCGCCTCGCTTGCCTGGTATTTATTACAAGTACTTGTCATGACATCATCGACAGTCTCAAGCTGACCACGCACAGACCCCGCGCGGAGCTACAAGGTTGTTTTTTCGAGCAACGTTCCAATCCAATTGGGAGCGTCTTTTGTCCAAGGTTTTCGATCCATTCTAGAGCCCATTTTCGAGCTCCAAAAACGAAGCCCAAAATGGGGTCTTCCCTAATAGTTTCCAATCAGGCGGTCTCAGCTTTGGGAACCAATTTTTGGCCACAAC